ACATTGTGACATTGAAAATGTTTAAATTGTTAGATATTATTATACGAAGCAAAGCATCAACCAAAAAAAGGAAGCAAAACGGATATTTTTGGTGACGTTAAATCTCAAGCTGTCAAGCATTCCGATCGTTTTAAAAAAGAGGGAAATAAAATTTCTTGGCTCTCGATCAAACTTCCAAACGACAAAATATTCTCTCCGTCAATGATAAAAACAGAAGAAAGGAGAATCGGTCTTAATAATGGAATTTTAACGATTGCCATATTCGATCTAGTCATAAAAAAATTGTCATCCGATAATAATTTAATACTTTATTGCAGTAGTAATATGGAAATAAGACAGGATTATTTGAATAGAGTAAGTAAGATGAGGAGGAGATGGACAATTTGTATTTGAATATAATATTTATATTGTTTCAGGTGGTTTTAATGTTCTTTATTTATTTTTTGGTCCGTGAACACAAAGAAAAAAAAAAAATTTTTTTTTTTTTTTTTAAATCATTTTGACGGATTTAAATGATTATTAATTCAATATTTTGACAAGATATCATGTCAGAGGAAATAAATTTTTTTTTTAAACACATAATTACGTATTAAATTTAAACCGGGACGAAAAACATAAATTTTAATACATCAATAAACATAATAATAATAATTCGTGGTTTTATGACGGAAGTTCGAAGGTCGCGGTTTATTTGCACCAAAAAAATCATGTTACAACGCCCCAAAACCATAAAATGATTTATTGAAATGTCAAATACTGTTGTTAGGTTTAATCCTCGAACCTTGTTTTTTTTTTTTAGGTTCGAATGAACACAATTAAAAATTGGCAAGTATTTAGTCCGATACCATTTTCAGAATTCAATCCGGATATTGTGTATTCGGACGATTTCGTGAGACCTAAAGAAATGGACATAAATAAAAATTACGGTCACTACGATACTCTAAACAACGATCACATAAGTTTTTACGTTAAGGATTACATAGAAGGTTATAAATAATATATATTTTTTGTTTTTTAATATGACGAACGATCTTGATTAGAATAAATTTATTTATTTATATTTTAGCGAGGAAAAAAATCGAACACGCAATTCCATACGTAATGGACGACAAAGATCTTTCACAATTGCCTAACCATTTATCGAAACAATTTATCAAAAACAGAGATGAGAGTTTAGATTATGTTCTCGGTCAAAATTTTGCAAGTTTCAAATTATCAGATGATTCATTCATAAAAACAATAGTTAAAATATCATTAAATTCAATTTACGGTTTGTTTTTTAAAATGGATAACGTTCACATATTGAGAGCCGTGGAACCGGGTCTCAGACTCAGATACGCCATGATTGATTGTAAAAAAATTTCACATCCAGATGATTTGCTCAAACCTCTTTTATTTCAACAGTGTATAGAAAAAAGAAATTTCAATACCGGAACTAGGAGTCAATTAGGCGAATTTATATTAAATTATGTTAAAAAAAATGATAAACCTTAGCCATTTTTTTTTATTAATTCATATCGAACAAGAAATTTTTTTTTTTTAATTTTTTTGCCATCGTCCATAACGATTTTATTTTAATTCGATTGTTTGAAAAAAAAAAAAAAAAAAAAATTAATTTAACCGGAAATTAATTTATAAAATTTAATTTTTTAATAATGTGCCTTAAAATCGAAAGAATGAAAAAATAAGTATAATTTCTATCATTTATTAAAAAATAATAATAATAATAATAATAATGTTGTTGAATCTCAATTTCAAGGTTGTATAAAATAAGAAAATAATATTTTTATTACGGTATTAATAATTAATTAATAAGTTTTATTAGTAGTTTTTGAGTTCCTTTTTATTATTAGAAAATTTATACGAATATACACTTTTATATATATATATATATAAATATATATATGGCAATAATATTAGTCTCTTATATATTTTATTTTTTTTTTAATAATAATAATAATTTTTATTATGTGAAAGTGCTCAATTTTTTTTTTTTTTTTTTTTTTTCGATATTAATGTTTACACTCTTATTATTATTATTATTATTATTCATGTTTTGTTATTTGTTTTATTTTTATTACTATTATTATTATTATTAATTTTTTTGTTTTTTATTTTTAACAGTATTTTATTTAATTATTAATTGACATGTGCCAATTAGGTATATAAAAGTATTTTTTTTTTTTTATGTTTACAAATCATTATTATTATTTTTTATCAAGATGATTTGACATAATCATAATTTAAATATTTATATTTCACGATTGTATTATGTAGTAAAGTTTAAATATTAAATTCTTTTGCTCACATTACGTTTAAATATTTAATCGGGTTTTAAATTTTATTTTTTTTTTTTTTATGGCGAATTATTACTGTCACGATTATATTTTACTTCATCTTGATAATTACAAATTATATATTTATTTATTTTTATTTATTTTATTATTATTATTATTATTATTATTATTATTTTAAATTACATTTAATAATTATAAAAATTTTTTTTTTTTTGTCATAAATCTGTTTTAAATGGCGATTATTTGATGCTTTTTGTAAAATGTTCAGATTTTTTTTTTTTTTTAAATCTTTTTTTATTGAAAACATTTAACATTTTGAGGCCTTGGTTTTTATTTATTTATTAAACAAATATTAAGATTGAGTGCCTTTGATATTGTTGTAATTAAAAAAAGTAATTATAATAAAAAATTTAAATTTTTTTTTTAAACGGAATGAATTTTTTATTAGGTACTGAAATTAATCGGATTGTTTTTCTAATAATTTTGTAGTAATTTATGTATCGAAATTCATTTTTCAGGTTCAAAATGTAGTTTTGTAATTTTTGATGAGTACATAAACATTGGCATTTTCAGATTTATAATTTGTTTTTAAATAATTAAAATTAATAATATTATCGAATTTGATTGATTTAATTTTTATAATTTGTTTATGTATAATAATTGTTTTATAATTTTAAAAATATACAGATTGAATGCACAATTGTTATTTACATTAAATCAATTCATATACAGTAAAAATTTAAATTGATTTAATGAAAAATATTATAAAATCAAATTTCCCAAACAGAATGGGATTTTCTATTAATCAAATATTGTTCGATAAATTAATAATGAATCTTTTTTTTTTCTCAGTAGCATTTTATAAACTTCACTTTTTTTTTCACAGAACATTCATCTTCATATGATGATTCAAAAATTTATTTGTTAAATATTAACTTTTTGGCTTTTGATTAATAGGAACCTGCAGCCTACAGGAATCATTAACTATTTTCCAAACATTATTTTGAGCTGTTATTAAAAAAGATTGAGCAAATCCTTTGGTATCTTTTTCTTTGTCAAATGTTATATATCCTGCAGCTTGCACTAAAACGGCTTCTTGACCGTTAATTCTTTCGACTGAAAAAAAAAAAAAAAAATCACGTTTAAAGTATTTATTAAAATTACATTAAAAAAAAAAAAAAAAAATGAAAAGGCAGTTACAAAAAACTGGTTGGGCATCTAGGGCAGTCAAACTATGAGTAAATTGAGGAAGATCATCTAAAAATTTTTGAATAGCATCTTTTCCGATAGCTGGATTTCCATCCCAAGAAAAAGTAGCATCGTTCATATAAAATTTATTCATTACACTTCTTTTTGTATCGAAACTTTCAAAATATAATTTTGTAAATTCTTCAGCTGCCTTACAGGCAGTGTCAATGCGAAGTTTCTGTTCCTATTTTAAATAATCATATTTGAAAATTTTAAATAAGTTAAAGAGTGAATAGCAAATAATTATAAAAAAGATCTACCTCTTCGGACATATTTATTTAAAGGTTTGATAAATTTTAACTGTTTTAAAATAAAAAAATTAATTCGCACATTTATTAAAAATATGCCATGAATTTACTATGACTTGTAATCAGCGGCAAATAATATTTTGAAAACATTCCTTTGAAAACATTAGAATGTTAAAATAAATAATTTCCTTTGACTGATTTCTCGTGAGATCTCGCAGCATGAAGTCACCTGATGTGAACTCGATCAGTTATTTTTTTCAGGCATGATGGCGCCAAACGATAGAAATCCAATTTATGTGATTAACCTTAAATTTTTTATTTGTAAAATGAGTAAAATAAGTTTTTTACATTGCCATCTCTTATTTTGAATATCAAAATTCGTAGTGTGAATTCACTCCGGTAAGTACAATGGCGCAGGAGGAATGTCGAATTTCTAATGAGGACATGTTGGTAGGCGCTAATGACAAGGAAAAGTAGTGATTAATTCTGATATTTTTTATTTAAAAACGATTGGATTTGTATTTGAAATTAGTTTTAAAATGCGTCCCACAATTTCAGGATTATGTTTACAAAAATTGAAATGTGATGTATACGTGAAAAATAGTGGAAAAACATTAATGAATATTGTAGATTGAAACATCGCGTTGGTGCTGCCATCTGTGTTGTCAATTTTTTAGGCCTAAAAATGGAACCGTGGATATAACATTTTTATCATTTATTTTGACGTGATATTGCCCTTTAATAAAAAATTATGATTAAAGAAATGCAGAAAACATGACTTGAAAGCAACGGAAATGAATTTTGGTATGTTTTAAGCATTAAAGACCTGGATAATGATGTAAATTTCCCATTGTTTACATCCGATGGTGTGCTGCATACTTCGTTAAAAAGAAATATGAACCAATTTTTGTTTTGTTATGTTTTGGTAACAAAAGTGTAACCTTTTGATTTTGTTGTATATATATTTCCTATTAGGCTGTCTATAAATTATTTTCGTTTACTTGTATTTCACCTGTGGGAAAATTAATTGAAAATACTGACCCACCCTTGGTCACTTTCATATCAATTACATGCATAAAGATGGTTTTCATTTTAATAGCAATATTTTAAGGTTTTTTACTTTTATTTTAGTAATTGTTATTATTAGTATTGATTTAGTTCTTTTTTACTTTATCTATTATGTTACTTATTGAGATGTTTAATTTTATTGATGACTTAGTAACTTTTGTTTTTGTTTTTTTTTTGTTTACGACATTATTTGTTGCTTTAAACTCGCATATTAATTCAAATTCATTTTGGTTTTAGGTTTGAGGCTACTACACTATGTAGAAAGTCCTCAGTTTTTATGTGTCAGTAGTTAACATGTCTCAAAAGGGTAAAACTGGAAAAAGACAAATAAATAGATCAGATGAAGGGCCTGGTGAGTATTAATTTGTACCTAGGAATAATTAATTTAATTATTAAATCATTATTAATCAATATTTGTGGTTGGTTTATTTAATTTTTTTGTCTTAATAACATTTCAAATAAAATTAGATACACAGCAAATCTTAAAAATTAATAAACTAATCATTAATATTATTGATACAATTATAATGCTTGATCATTGAGTGTTTCTTAAATAAATTCATAACTAACACACTAAAATTGTTCTACATGAATTAATTTTACTATTTAAATAATATTTATTTTAAAAATTTTCATGTATCTTGGCCTTTTATTATTTTGTGTATTGTTGTAATTAATTGTGTAGTTGTTTATTTATTTATTTGTTAAATTTGTTTTAAATACATTACTTATTGGTGAATCAAATTAATCTTTTTATCTTTTCTCGAATTTTAAATTATAAATATAATTGTTTTTATTTCGATATTTAATTTTACGAAAAAATTTTGTTTTAGGTATTAGGAAGTGTAATTGAAATTCTAAAAAGTAAACTGTGCATAATTTATGTTTAAATGTTACTGTGTTTTAATAAAACATTAATTTCTTTTTATAAACATTCGATGTTTTTATTATTCGAATGTTAGTCGCTCATTATGCAAAGTTTATTATTAATTTTAATATTAATATGTTGATTGTATAATTCACAACAACATATTTTTATTTATTATTATTTTTATTTTATTTAATTTAGTTCCGACGAAGAGGAGGAAGGGGAGGCCTAAGGCTGCTCCTCCCCCCGATGACGAAGATGAAGGATGGACTCCACGTAATGTAGGTGATATGAAAGCAAACGCCATTTACAATCAAAGAGCACCGGAAGCCCCAGCAGAATTATTTCGTAAGGATCTCATTAGCGCGATGAAATTACCCGATTCTGAACCTTTAAACGCAGACGAATATTGGGTCATAATAGATCAATGGAAACAGGATTGGGAAAGAGGGGTGCAAGTACCTGTAAACCCAGATTCATTACCTCAACCCAGCGTTACTGTAACACATCATTCATTTCCCCACACCCAAGAATTTAGATTGTAAGTAAAAGTAAAATTTTTAATTATTTACGTAAATTATTATTCGCCAAAAGCAAAGAAAATTTTTAACTAGGGTTTTTTTTTTTTTTTTTTATTTTTTTTTATTTTTAGACCAAAGTCAAAATACATAAGAATAACAAAAGATGAAAGGTTTCGCAGCGATGAGTTCCATCTGTCCAGTGTTGCCGCTCGTGCCGAGGCATCTTGTCATTACGATCTTGACGATTTAGATATAGCTTGGTTAAATACTTTGAACGGAGAACGTGCACTTATGGGTTTGCCTCCCCTCACGGAAGAACAATTAGAAAGAGTTTTAGAAGAATTAGAAAGGAGATGCTGGGACAAAATTCAAGGATTGGTAAAAGCAGAAGAAGGTCTGGGAATAGAATACGATGAAAATGTGATATGCGACGTTTGTAGATCTGTAAGTTTTTTCAACAACAAAAAAGAAAAAATATTTAAAAATTTACTTTACGTTTTCCTCATCCTTATTTTCCTTTTAACATCGTCTTTTATTATCCCTAAATTTAATTCATTTTTTAATTTTAGTCTCTTCCATTTGAACTCTTCCTGATTATCTTTCCAATTCCTTTGGCAAAACTACTCCGATGCTTTACTTTCCAAGTTATCACTAAACCACTAAAAATTTTGTTTTTAACAATATTTTGGATATTATTCGTTTTTGGAGAGTATAATGTTTTCAATTTTTATTGGTATATTATCCTTGAAAATATTTTTTATATAAATTTTTTATTTTAAATTTTTATTTTTTACATTTAATTTTTTTAATTTTAGCCGGATTCTGAAGAAGGAAACGAAATGGTATTTTGCGATGCTTGTAATATTTGTGTTCATCAAGCTTGTTACGGAATAACTTCTATTCCTCCTGGTTCTTGGTTATGTCGAACTTGTGCTTTATCAAAACGTCCCGAATGTGTTCTTTGTCCTAATAAAGGGGGCGCTATGAAATGTACAAAGTCCGGACACGAATGGGCACATGTTTCTTGCGCCCTTTGGATACCCGAAGTTTCTATAGGGTGCGTGGAAAAAATGGAACCCATAACTAAGATCTCTAATATACCGGTGAGTGATTGATTTGTTTTGAAAAAATGTCGTACATAATAATAATAATAATAATAATTTGAAAGAGTAAAAAAAAAAATTTTTTTTTTCTTTTATCTAGCAATCTCGGTGGGCTTTAATTTGCGTTTTGTGTAGAGAAAGAGTAGGAGCTTGTATTCAGTGTTCGGTGAAAACTTGTAAGACTGCTTATCATGTAACATGCGCTTTTAAGCACGGTTTAGAAATGAGAGCTATTATAGAAGATGAAAATGCAGACGACGGAGTCAAATTAAGAGTAAGTATAAAGTTAATTAAGGATTTGAGAAGTTTATTTTTCCCCCCCCCCCCCCCATTTTTTACAATAATCTTTTTTTTTTTTTTAGTCGTATTGTCAAAAACACAGCGTGAAAAAAGAAAATAGAAGTGCTGGATCTGATGATGAAGAATCTAGGCGAAAGAAAAGAAAAGATATGACATCCGAAGAAAAAAATCAAGCTCGAGCTGCCAAGTAAGATTTTATTTTAGATTAAATTAATTTTAAGGCTGTTTTAGTGAAATTATTATGGGGGGACATTAAGGGTACGTATTTAAAACTAGTTTTAAACGTTAAATTTCGAATGTTTAAAGGTTACACGAGATCGAAGCTGAATTTTACAAACACGTTTCGGTAGCGGATGTTAGCGGATCGGCTGCTCTTTTAGAAGTTGATTCGTCCGCCATTGAGTTCGTCTATAATTACTGGAAGTTAAAAAGAAAAGCTGGTAATAATAGACCGTTACTTCTTCCAAGAAGTGACGATGGAGATCTCTTAGGTAAAGGTCAAGAACAACAAGACCTCGATAAAATGAGAATGTTTGTTCAACTGAGGCAAGACCTGGAAAGGGTGAGAAATTTTATTTTATTTTATTTTTTTTTTTCGTTAGAAATCAAATTTCAGATGTAAAAAAATAAAAATTGTATTTTATACTTTAGTAAATTTTTTATAATTTGTAGGATAGTAGTTTTTGTTATTGTTTTGTTTGATCATGTTATTTCCTTGCTTAGTTTTTATACCTTAGTTTACAAAAAAAAAAATTTTTTTTTTAGGTTCGAAATCTTTGTTACATGGTCAGCAGGAGAGAGAAATTATCTCGTTCGTTTTTTCGTACGAGAGAGCAAATTTTTCACAAGCAAGCATCTCTCATTGCTGATCACACACTTTCTCAAATTGAAGTCTCAGCAGTTATGGAAGCTAATCATGGGCCTTTTATATACGATCGACTGTACTCTCATCCTTCTGCTCAAGACAACACCGACAACTTTGACAAAATTTTAGCTCGTATCGAAGGAGTAACGTCGCCTACGTTGAAGAATCGGCAAGATATGAACGGGTTGATTAAAGTTGGTGACAAGTCGGGTAATCCGTACAAAAAAATGTATTTCAATGGCGCTACGCGACGAAGAGGTTTATTCGGAAGCTCTTCAGAGAGTGAAACGGATTTAGATAAAAAGGACTATTCTAAATTAGATAAGTTAGGATTACATTCTGCTGATTCCAGTACGGATGATGAAAAGAAATCTGGTGTTCGAATACGAAATAGGAAATCATTTGAAAGGCGAAAAAGAAGTCAAGATCTTAAATTAATTGATACTTCGAGTTCCGATGAACGGTGGAAGTCTAAAAGTCGGTCTTTGCGACAAATGGAACGCGATATGGAAGATAAATCATTTAGTGAAGACAGTGATGATCTGTTGCCTTTGCCAAAATCAAGTAATGTTAAAAAAATGAACGAAATTTACTCTGATAGTGATTCAGAAGCCTCTCTAAGAGACGACAAGAGTTGTTCTTCGCAGCATATATTAAAAACAAAGGGAGAATTGAAGGCATTTACCGGAATTCCTAAACTCGACAAAGATAACAAAAGCAAAGTTAAATCCTCTCCCAAGTCTGAAAAATCAAAGTTTATATCTGAAACTAAACATCATAAAAAGAGCAAGAGGAGCTTGTCTAATGACGATGATGAAAATCGTGACGACAAAGAAAATATTAAATCGTCCAGAAAAGGTTTTGACCCTAGTGATTTAATAGTGCCTCAAAGACAAGCCGCTAAAAAAGCTAGTGAAAATTTGAGATGTTTTCAAGGGAAGAAAGATGAAGGAGGTATTTTAACGGATGATTTTAACAGGGTTGAAAAATCTAAAGAAAGTGTTCGGCACGATCGAATGAAAAATAAATTTAAAAGTAAAACAAAACTTTCGAGAGAGGAAAGAGGGAAAAGCAGTGACGTGTTTGATTTTGAACATTCAGAAAAAGAAGATGGATCGGATTTCATAGCTTATGTTCCTCAGCGTCAGGCAGCTAAAAAAGCAGCGGAAACGATAAAATGCGGGTTAAAAATGACGGAAGAAGTTAAATTGAATGAAAAGAAAAAGGAGGAAGTCAAAAGGAGCAGTGAAAAATTAAGGCGGACTGCACTTAGTGGAAGTAAATCACCAAGAAGCACAAAATTATCCACATCTACCACATCTTCTTCCAGCAGCTCAAGTACTTCTAGTAGTTCTTCATCATCCGAAAGCGAGGATGAATCGAAAAAGAGTATTTTCGATCCAGAACCCAAGAAAAAGACTGAAAATTGGCCCTTTCTTGACAAGGAAAGCCAGTCGAAGTCTGACGATGGCAAAAAATTCAAAAAGACGCCCGAGAAGAAGCTTAAAACTTCCGACGGGCGGCTTGAAATTGAATTTCAGCCGCCAACTCTTGAAAGAGAGGAATCATCACGAAAATGTAGTTTGGGTGATTGGATCGGAGACTCTTCGACCAGATCAGGAGATTTCCATCCGGACTCGGTCAATTCCTCATCCGACGCAGAAAGAAGAAAGAGAAAATCAATCAGAGAAGATGAAGAAGAGCGGCTCGAAGTTAAAACTAAATCTATTACATCTCCGGTCAAGAAAAGTTCAAAAGAAATAGATATTGAATCGGAAATATATCAACGTCGATCAATCTCACGAAAACCAAATAAATTAGACAAGCTGTTTGATTCTATTAAGGATAAATCCGCTGATGATTTGTTTAAAAGAAAGGAAGAGCAACCGACGAAACGTGGTCCTGGTCGACCTAGAAAAGATTCATCGGCAACGGCAACGGTTCCAGCGACGGCAACGAAAAAGCTCGATGTTAAAAATGATAAAATTAAAGATGTTCATGATAAATATAATCAATTTTCGGAAGAAAAATCATCTAAAACAAAGCCGATGCCTAAATCCGTTAAAAAAGCTTTAGGATTGTTAGATGACAATAGCAGTCCCGAAGAAGACAAAAAAGAAAATGAAATGTTTACACCTGCGAAGACAACTGAGATTCAAGAAAAAACTGGTGAGACGGTTACAGGTTCCGATGTGTCTGATAAAACTTATGACAAAGATAAATTTCGGCGGAGTTCGCGATTGGTTAGTGGTAGTGATAAATCGGACAATGAAAACGACTCTAAAACAAACATTAGTAATAATAAAATTAGTAGTAGTAATAGTAATAATAACATTAATAACAATAATAATAATAATAATAATAATAACAATCAATTCAATAACAATAATGTTGTTAACAATGATGTGCAGTTAGACATTAAGCCTGAATTAGCCCTACCCGCATTAGGGTTAGATGAAAAGCAATCGTCTCCAGTTGATGATGTTGCCCGATCGAACTTTTCACTGGACTTGGGGCTTCCGGAAAATTCGACGGGCGAACCTAAAAAAATATCATCTCGAACGTCTTCACTCGGAGTGCCAATTTATCCGCAAAGGTCAATATTTTCACCGCAAACTTCAAACCGCGATCATTTATCAGATATTTTTGATTTTGAAAATGATATGTTAGCCGTGGACGAAACTGTACACGAAGATCCCCGACCCCTCCAATTTAATTTTAGCAATGAGTTTTTGTTCAAAGAAGATTCTAAAGAGGATTCTAAAAGGGAAACTTACAATCTGGTTGAAAAACTTAGAATGGAGTATGCTAAAAAGAGTACGAATAACCAAGAAGACACTAGTCCCGTTACCGTTACAGAAGAACCTGCTGCAACAGTTATTAAAGATGAAAAACCGGATGAAACAATTAAAGTTCCTGATCAAGTGCAATCTAACGATGTTCCGAGGGAAACTGTCAGTAACAATCAATCTGTAGGATTTCAAAAAAGGCATAACTCAACTTCCGACTATCAAGCGAACGATGTAGTTTCCCAAGTGACAGAACCTGATAAGTTTCTTCCCAAACGTCAGGCCAATGTTATTCCATCGAATAACCTTGAAAATCCAACGGTCTATCCGGCTCATATTATATCTCAAGAGCAGCAACAACAACAAATGCTCACTCCTCGTTATGCAGAAGACCCTGTTCCTCCGGTACAAGATTCTGAAAAAACAGGATATCCGCCTCCTAGGCAAAATTATGAAGCTCCAGATCCGTACGATACTTTCTACGCTTCGTGTTCTGCCATTCCACAAGATTCTAGCAATGTAAGAAGTTATTTTTACTTTTTAATTATAAGTAATGCAATGTTTAAAATTTAAAAAAATATTAATTTAATGTTGTGTTCAATTATTTAAAATGTATTAATTTATTTATAGATTATTTCCGAAATCCGGGAAAACATAGACACATCAGCATCAACAGATGATCGTTGGGTTCCACCTAATTCAAATGCATCTTCTGTTTATCAATCACCTTCGGAAACTCCTTATCAGTCTTCTGTTTCACCCTACCAGAGAAATCGATCTCGCTGGCCTGATAGTGAAGTGATATCTCGAAGATCTTCAAGTTCTTCATCCATTGAATCTGCTAAAGATGATTCGGATCCAACAAAAACTGATAAGATAGAAGCAACAAAACCTAATCAGGAAATTCCAAGTATTAGTGCTAAACCAGATGAAATTCAATATCCAATGCCACAACCGCCTTCTACTATTCCTACCGTTGAAAATGAAGCAGAAAAATTGAAAAATGCTCATTTCCCTCAAGAACTGCACAATAAAATTGTGGAAGCTATTAAAGCGGAAGTTCAGACCAAACACGGGGAGCTTGTTTTTCAACAAGGTCTTCCGAAAAATGAAGAAAATGTTTCTTTTCCTCATGCAGATTTTTATCATCCTGGTATCACGCCGTTCCTTCCCGACAATGCTCCTTATCATCCGTACTCGGAGGCTTCTCCATTTGTTGGTCCCGTAGCACTTTTTCCTCCAAATCCCTGTGCTTCACTTCCTTTTCCGTCCCCAGGATCATCTATGTTTCAAAATTCGTTTCCTCCTTCTTTTCCTCCAACTCATGGTATGCTACATCCCATGTCTTCCAAACCGGAAGAAACACTTGGTATGGTTCCTCCACCTGTTCCGGTTCCACCACCAAATAGTGCTTCTTTTACTTCATCACAACATAATATGGCATTAACAGCTGCAATTGTATCTCCGCCGGTGACGGCTCCAAATATTTTAGAACCTTCATTAACTCCTGTGCAATGCTCTGACAATATTGCAACGGATCAAAATTCATTCTCGAATCATCGCACTGAATCTCCTTCGAGGTCCTTAATAAAATCTACTAGCATGACACCTCCAAATAAAAAAGTAGCGGCGAAAGCCACCAGAGTGTCAGCAAGAGTCATTTCTCAAGGAAAGTCTCCCGGAAAGTCACCTGGAAAAAGTCCGGGTACTAAGAGTCCCAGACAAGTACCTTACATTCAAGATAAAGTGCAAATTACAAAAATTAGAGAATCTGCTCCTAAACGGGGTCGAGGACCAACTACAAGTACAAGAGGGCGTGGGCGAGGAAGGGGAAGGGGAAGAAATACTCCTATGTATGAAGACTTTGCTTTTCGTACTAAATTGGAAGGAACGGTGTACGACATGGATTTCGATGAAGATGGAACTTCTGATGGAATGGAAAATTTGAGGGCCATGAGAGAGAGGAGAAGATCGACTGACATTCACGATAGAAAGTCAGATATATTGATATCGCGGGAATCCAATTCCCCCATTCCAAAATTTTCATCTCCTGCATCGAAACCACCAAAGGCGCCTGTATCTCCCGTACCATCTATTCATCCACCCCCACCTTCCACTCCTCCACAGTCATTCCCAGATGTAGCTCCTCCGTTACCTGGACCTGTAGATATGAGAACTTATTCTTCTTTTGAACCTCCTGTAAACACCGCAGAATATTTACTTAATGCATTTGCAAACCCCGCAGAAGCTCCTCACGTGAATGAATTTGACGAGGAAATGGAAAAAGAATTGCATTCTGCGCTAAGAGCTAGTCGTCCGGTTACGCCTCCGAAAGAGCGCACTCCGCCCTTATCCGTACCTCCTCCTGTGCAATCCCCTCATATTCCGCATCCAGAACCATCAGAAACTCCGGAACCACCGAACAAAGTAAGTTTTTGCTTATATTTTAAAAAAAAAAAATTTTCTAACTTAAAGTACCTGAAGTAAACAATTATTTTTGCCTTACATGTACCTACATCTATTTTTTTTCTTTTTCAGGTTTCCTTAAATGATTCTCGCAATCAACTCAAAGTTAAAATAAAGGGACCATTTTTAGACGCTAATTATGCAACAACGAGCACTCCTCTTCCAGCACCTCCACCGGCTCAAGCGACTCCTCCAGCTGTGACTGTAAGCCCCGCGGGAACAGGAACTTCTAGCCTTCGTAGAATGAGAAAGAAGGAACTTCTTCGTCAATATTGGAATCAGGACATGAATACGGACGATTTGGCTGCACCAATCACACCAGCCGTACCACCTCCTTCGAGGTCAAGCATCACGATTCCAAAAGCAGTGGCTTCAATGACTTCAATCCCAACCAGAGAGGATTACAAGGCTCTCATCGATGCCAACATGGATAAAAAGAGAAAGAAGGAAAAGCCGGTAAGATTTTTTTTTTTTTGTATAATAATGATAATTTTTTTATGTAAGACATGAATGTTTAATATTTTTAAAAATAATATTACTTTAAAAAAATTGAATCTTCTAGGTGAGAGATTACAGAGGCTTTGATTTGACTTTTCCACCTCCTGATGATGAGCTGAACATTCCAGAAAGAATAAATTCCACGGGAAGTAATCCTCCGTTGGTCGTTGACGGTTCAACGTCGAAGCGAAGAGCAAGAACAAGTAAACCAAACGCATCTTCCTCGGCAACTGCCACTCCCAAGTTAAAAATTAAATTTTGCGGATCGGCTACAGCGGTAACCATGGGTCTTGCGGAAGAGAAGAAAAACCTCAGGGTTCGACCCCCTAAGAAAAGACATTGTAACATTGTCATGCCTAGCGTGGAAGAATTAAAACGGGAAAGCATGAAATATCGGCGGAAAATCATGGCGGATTTCGATGAATCCGATAAGAAGTCATCCAAGACTAAAAGCAAGAAAAAGAAAAAGAAAAACAAAGAAGTGCTTGTGATTGAACAAAATTATGGTGCTCCTCCTCCTAAGTTAATAATTAAGTTCGGTAAGCCAGGTGAAGTGAGCGAAAGGCTAACGGTTGATCCCACGCCTAGGACTCAACACGATTCCGACGGAAGAACGGAAGCTCCTCCTCCTCCTCCTCCTCCTTCTTCTTCTTCATCGTACAATCCCCTAGAAGAAGTGGACCCTTTGGCCATTGATCCGTTGGAACCTTCTCCCGTTCCGCCGTATCCCTTGCCCCCGAACGAACTTTCGGTTGTGACAGTGAAACCCGAACCCGAAGTTTCGGCTTTGAGAAAAGTACGGACGTCAAAAACAACGCCGATACGTTTGAAATTATCGCGGTGCGAAGAAGGTTACGTTATGGCTGGAAGAAACGAGGTGCCACAGGATTCAGTTCCGCCTCCCGAGTGTCCAGTTCCCGTACGGTGATTATCACTGATTCCTAATGCTCATTTAGAAACATAGGTTTTTTTTTTTTTTTTTATACATGCATACATACATACATACATACATATATGTACATAAATGCAAATACAAACACACACACACAGTTTCAAAATTTGATTAAATGACATTATTTAAGTCCGATTTAACTTACAATTAACGGTCAATTTATTTATTATTATTTTTATAAAAGTTAATAATTGTTTTAGAATAATGATAATCGTCTATTCTTCTTCTTCTTCTTCTTTTTCTTCTTTTTTTATTTTTCTTGTGTTACTTTTTCAATTTACAAAATTATTATTATTATTATTTTTTATTTAAATACCAAGTAGACATGCAGAGGTTTTAAATTTATTTATCTTTTATGTATTTATTTATTTTATTGTTTATTTTATTTTATTATTTATTTTTTTTTTTTTTTTTGTAAAAACTTTTCAAATTTTCTCTTTTGATGTCTTTTCTTCTCTGGCATTGTTTGTCAAAAGATAAAAAGAAGAAGAAGAAAACATAACCGTTGAGCCATTTTTAATTTAATTTTTATATTTTCAATGACAAACAAACCGATGTAGTATTATTATCGTTATTATTTATGTCGGGGGAGGAGAGAGGGGAAAGGGGGAGTGAAGGGGACGAAGGTGGGAGGGAAAAGAATTAAATTTTAAATTATTTTTTGTT